TGAGTTGCAACCAGAGTCACGGAACGGATTAAGTTCGTAACTAGAGGTACCACTGTATTTTAATAAACCAAATGATAGAGAACTTCAGAGATCATCCGTTCTAAAAGCAACCATATAGAATATCAGTACAATTTGTAGAAGGATTTAAAAATATACGCCATAGTACACTGACTGACGGTGAAATTTTTTTTTTCTTTATTAACAAATACAGATGTGACAGCATAGAAAAACTAAAGGCACAGCTTCCTAAAATGGAACAAGAATTAAAAGAGCCAGGAAGATTTAAGGATTTTTACCAGTTTACTTTCAACTTTGCAAAGAATCCAGGACAGAAAGGTTTAGGTATGTATGCCAACATTTCCTAGTTCAGGAAGAAGTGAGTCATGTCACATACCGGAAAGTAGATTTCTCAGCAATGCTGTGGCTGACCATGGTGATGGAAACTACCTTTTCCCCTCAAGTGTGGTGCTAATTGATTGAGACAAGCCCATTAAGGTCTCTCAGCAAGTGTTGTTTAACAAAGTTGTATTTTGGTGGACAACCTGCCTTGGAAAGGTGCTGTCAAGCTTCATACACTTAGAAGTGTTTCTAGATTTCTCTTCCTTGCAAAGGAGCTCCATTGCTATTCAAGGGAACAAGGCATCCCTGAAATTTAGGGTAGGTTTAGAAGCAAACTTTACTCAGTGTGAAGAACTCAGGAAGGGGGAATGAGGGAAAGTGAAACCCCATTGCAAACTCTTGCCTGGATCACCCCGGTGTCTAGTTGTGATAGTCTGAGAAATCTTTGGTGGGGGTGAGGGTGAGGGTGAGGGTGAAGGAATCCTGAAATCTAGGAACTTTTGAAGCATTCTTGTGCAGCAGAATTTTTCTTTGCGTTAATTAATTATGCATTCCAGAATGATTGGGCTGGGTCATAATGTTTTAAAAAAAGAATTAATTTCTTTAATGTTACAGATTTAGAAATGGCCATTGCCTACTGGAACTTAGTGCTTCACGGAAGGTTTAAATTCCTAGACTTGTGGAACAGATTTTTATTGGTAAGTTCACTATTAATGGCTTCTAACAAGTAACTACATGTTGAGTTTCTGGGGTTGGGGGCTTGTAATCAATACTGTTATAAAAGGGGTCCAGATCCAGGACTTTTGCCTATGAACATAATAATCAGTGGGTCAGGTTGACATTAGAGCGAATTGGCAGCTTTTCTTTTCTTGTCTCTATTTGGGTGGAACAAATAAAATCAGAAATCCCAAAAGGAAACTTTTACGTTTTAATTGCAGATTTTGGACCCAGTGAACTTTTGATGACTGAGCAGGGGAGTGTGTGGATTCTCAGTCATTTTAAGTACTGCCTGTCTTTGGTATTCTTTGGGCTGCACATTGAAAAGGTTGTCAAGAACTTGCCAACTGGACCATATCTGCTTTTTTGGATTCTGCATGAGCATTTAAAGTCCATTAAACCTGGTGCAAAGCCTTGAGGGGCACTTTATTTTAACTGAGCCTCCAGCCAAGGGCTCCTTTGATGCCACTCTGGAAAGCCGAACAAAGCCCTGCTTCTGAGCACTGCAGTGACGCCCTGCATGGGGGCAGCCCCTTCACTGGAAGTGAAACAGTCTGTCTCAGTGCTTGGGAAGTGTTGAAGCAGACTGCTTCCCAGCACTGCTTTACTCCAGTGAATGAATTAAAGCAGCTCTGAGAAGCAAAGCCCTACTGCTCTGCAGAGCCATGGGTTCAGCAGATGATTCATCTGATCAGAAATAGTCACTCAAGATGTGGGATAGAGATAATTTTCAACCTTGCTGCCCTATAACCCCAGTGGACTGACCCATCTAATACAGGCAGATAACTTTGAGACGACCTGGAAAACGGCTATCCAAAAGAAACTGAGTCTCCAACGATGCCATTTTGACTTTAGAGTTTGACCAAGCCAGGTCACTACTAAGGCAAAGGATCTTAGATACAGAAGGCCAAGCAGAAACT